TGCAGGCAAGTGATGGGCAGTGAGGCTGGAAAGTGCAGAGCCTCAGATGCCTCAAATATCAGGCAGGGCATTTGGAGTTTCTCTGGTGGTCAGTAGGGCCACTGAAGATATTTAACCAAATAGGGTGCTGTGGTGGAGAGCGCAGGAGCTGGACTTCCCGGGAAGCTCATCCTGACTCTGCCATTATGAGCTGTTGGACCTTGGGTGCATGTTTTATCATTCTAAGCCTCTGTTTCCTCATCTGTGGGATGGGGTTGATAATAGTACCTGCCACTCAGGGTGGCTGCAAGGATGACACAGAGCACTAGTGCAATGCCTGCCTTGGTAGATGTGCAGTAAGTGTCAGTCCCTACCTTGCTTCCTCGCCTCATCAGATTATTACTGGAGGTTGGGATAGCAAGAAGGAAGCCTTGCTGAAAGTCGGAGAAGCTGCAGATATGGGGTCCAGGTCCCCTGGCCAGCCTAGGATCTCCTTGGTAGCCTGGGCAGGAAGTAGGAAGCATTGGTGGCGGGGAGCCTGCGACCTCTGTGTACTCCCAGTCAGGGCTGGTCTGAGGTGAAGGTGCATCTGGTCCAAATGATCCAACTTGTGAGTAGTGAGTGAGGTGGGGACAAGGACCCAGGTCTCCACCACCTAGCAGAGCATTCTTGGGGGGCCCACCTCCCAGCCTGAAACCCCTAGACCCCCATCACTTTATGCAGACCTGTCTTGGGACTCTCTTTGACAGGACTTCTGTTTTCTCACTGAAATGAGGGGGTTCAGCCCAGGAGGTCCTGACGCTCCTTTCTGAGTCTCTGGACACAGCACGAGGGCCAGGCCAAGGGCGGGGCGTGGGGCTGCTCACCAGGGTGAAAGCGTCACAGGAAGAAAGGCATCCTGGGATGGGAAACAGGTGTCAGGGCAGGAAAATAGCTGTGCCTGAGCCAGGGTGCGAATTTGCCCCAGGCTGCTAGGACCAAGCTGCATTCCCACTTCTTCCTGGGATAGATTCCCAGGACCCTTGAGAAGCAGGGAAGGGGGACCATTTAGTCTAGTGGTTAGGAGCACAGGCTTTGGAGTCGGACAGAAAGAGGTTAAACTCCCTGGTCCATGAATCAGTATTTTTGCAGTTTTGGTTTCTTTTCCTAAGAAAGAGGAATGATAAACAGCCACCGTATAAGGTAGTGAGAGGGTCAGTGAGGTATAAAGTATGTCATGTGCCTGGTTAGCACTGGACCTGCACATTGTAGGGATTTACTAAATGGCACCTGTCTTCATTTGGGGAACATTTACCGAGCACCTGGTGGATGTCAGGCTCTATGCTAACCTTTGGGTAGTTGATAGGAGTTAAACCCTCGGGAAGCTCTTAGCCCAGTGGGGCAGACAGGTCGGTAAACTGACAAGCTCGAGGTAGTGGGAAAAGCACTGAAATAGGGGAGGTGCAGGGTTTGATGGGAACTGGAGAAGTGGCGGGTGTGGGCAGCAGGAGGAGGCTTTCTGGAGGAGGTACTATTTTTGCTGAAATGTGAATGTGAATTAGCCAGGTTGGGGGTAGGGACAGTGCAGGGAGAGTGTCCCACGCAGGGGAGCAGTCACCTGCTGTGATAGGTTCTTGGGGTGGGGCAGGGGACAGACGGGACTCAGGTGAGAAAACGTGGCCTTGCACGGAGGTTCTCACAAGCCAGTGGAGAGGCTGTTTCCCCTGGACTGTGGGCCACCAAGGTGAGAGGATGCGAGGCAAGGACGCTTCTCACTTCTTTTTTTTTTTTTTTACATCTTTATTGGAGTATAATTGCTTTACAGTGGTGTGTTAGCTTCTGCTTTATAACAAAGTGAATCAGTTATACATATACATGTTTTCATATCTCTTCCTTCTTGCGTCTCCCTCCCTCCCACCCTCCCTATCCCACCCCTCTAGGTGGTCACAAAGCACGGAGCTGATCTCCCTGTGCTATGCGGCTGCTTCCCACTAGCTATCTGTTTTACATTTGGTAGTGTATATATGTCCATGCCACTCTCTCGCTTTGTCACAGCTTACCCTTCCCCCTCCCCATATCCTCAAGTCCATTTTCTAGTAGGTCTGTGTCTTTATTCCTGTCTTACCCCTAGGTTCTTAATGACATTTTTTTTTCTTAAATTCCATATATATGTGTTAGCATACGGTATTTGTCGTTCTCTTTCTGACTTACTTCTCACTTCTTAGGGAGAATCTCCTGGGATTCTCCCAGGGATTCTCCAGGAATGCCTGGGAGAATCCTGCCTCCAATTGTTCCTCCTTCCTTCCTGTGGGGTCCCTGCCCCCCATCCCTACTGCCCCCCAGTCCTGGGGACCACCAGGGCTAGTGTGTCTGCCTCTGTCCACTGCGGCTCCCAGCCCTGTTCAGAGGTTTTGGGTGGTGGTCAGGAGGACCGGACCGGGCCCCTCAGCCCCAGGGAGAAGCCTCAGGGCCATTCCCAGGAAGAGAGAAGTTCCCAAAAGGTGGCTGAGGAACGTGGTGGAATGGAGGGAGGAGAAGCCCCCTGCTCAGGAGATGGTGGGCAGCAGGGAGGGTTCAGCTCACCACATGGGGTGCCAGGATGCTTGGGGTCCCTGGGCAGCCACCGGAGGGCCGGGTCAGGGCACTGGAGGGGGCCCCAAGCCTGCATCCTGTGTCCTGACCTCCCCCTGCCCTCACTCTCCTTTCTGCAGAGTGTAAGGAACCGCCCTGCCTTGGGAAAGGACTTTGACACAGTTTCAAAATAAGTTGAGAGAAATCTCCAGAGGGGGAAAAGAATAAACACACTTTTAAAATGCAAAAGGAAACATATTATATTTTTTTTTTAAAAAAAGGAGGGATTCCTCGTCCAACTCACTTGAGTGAAAGTTTCCAGCCACTGTGAAGTGAGGTCACAGAGACCAGGGAGCCGGGAAGTTCGGGATGGGGACACCTGGGCTGTCTTCAAAGCAGATTCAGAATCAGTTCAGCCAACTTTTAGGGCCACCCTCCACCTGCCCCCCTCTGAGCTCTGCGCTGTGGGGGGCGGAGATGCAAAGGCCCGAATCCTCCCTCCAGCTGAGGGTCCAGTAGAGCATCGAGGATAGACATCGAGGACTGTCGGACAAGAGAGAGTGTGACAACTGTCATAGCAGAAAGGTTCCAGTGAGCATGAAGGGGCCCCGGGGGAGGGAGGGTTCACGTCTGTGGGTGGGGGGAGAAGGCTCAGTGCCGCTGAGGAAAGGTTTCAAGGAAGAGGTGGACTGGGTTCGACTTTGAAGCCTGGCTAGGATTTCAGTGGGCCGAGACCGAGCAGAGGCTTTCCAGGTAGATGATGAGAGCAAAAGTGCAAGGTGGGAAATTCTCCAGTACTTCGAGAAACAGGGGCATTCAGTTTTCTTAAACACTTATTTATTTACTTATCTATTGATTTAAAACCGCTCTATTGAGATTTATATGTCACTAGCATGTAATTCACCCATTTAAAGTCTACAATTTACAAAGTTGCACAACTAACACTGCAATCAATTTTAAAACATTTTCATCACCCCCGAAGGAAACCCCGTACCTATTAGCAGTCACTCCGCAATCCCCTAGTCCTAGGCAACTCCTCATCTACTCTGTTTCTGTGGATTTGCCTATTCTGGGTATCTTATATAAATGCAGTCATATAATCTGTGGTTTTGGGCGACTGATCTTTCACTTAGCACCATGTTTTCAGGGTTCATCCATGGTGTGGCATGTATCAGTACGTCATTCCTTTATACTTTTTTCTCCGCCTTCATTCCTTTTTATGGCTGAATAGTATTCTGCTGTATGGATATACCACATTTTGTTTACCTTCTCATCAGTTGATGGACATTTGTGTTGCTTCCACTTTGGGACTATTCTGAATACGCTACTGTGAACATTTGTGTACCAGTTTTTGTGTAGATGCGTGTTTTCAAGGCATTCCATTTCAAATGGGATCTAGGACGGTCCTGGCGAGGAGTAGCAGGGAAGAAGATGAATCAGAGGGACCTGCTCACCCACTGAGTGCTCTGCGTGGTTGGGTGGGAGTGAGAAGGCTAGGCTCAGGATCCTGTTCTAGCCTCACTGGGTGCCTGGGCTGAGTGAGGCCAGGGCAGGGCTGTCCCCCTACGTACACACCGCCCCCCCCCACTGTTGTGTTAGATCTGGCAGCTGTTTTTCTGTTTGTTTGTTTGTTTTTTTGTGGTACACGGGCCTCTCACGGTTGTGGCCTCTCCCGTTGCGGAGCACAGGCTCCTGATGCGCAGGCTCAGCGACCATGGCTCACGGGTCCAGCTGCTCCGTGGCATGTGGGATCTTCCCGGGCCGGGGCACGAACCCGTGTCCCCTGCATCAGCAGGTGGACTCTCAACCACTGCGCCACCAGGGAAGCCCAAGATCTGGCAGCTGTTTTACTGGGCTGGGAATAGTCTGGGCAGCTGGTATTTTCCCTGGAAATTAGGTGTTTTTTTCCTGTGTTCCACTGAGGGCCAATGTTAGTTAAACACATAGAGAAGTGTGAGCCATACCGTTAGTCTGCAGGAGGGGAGTGTTGTCCACAGGAAGCTGACCAGCCAGGGGAAAGAGGTGGTCAGGAAAATGGAGGTCAATAAGCCATGTGTAAAGTGAGGCTATGTTGCAGTGCCCCTCCCCACCCACATACACCCAGAGAGGCAGTGGTTTTGTTTACAGGAAATGCTGCAAGTATCTCCCTGGCCCCATTTGACAGATGGGGAAACAGAGGCACTGCATTAAAGGGATCTGCCATTCAGAGACAGAAACAGGATTAAAGCCAGAGTCTGGTTCTGCTGTCAGCAGCAGGTTTGGTAAAACCCAGGCCTTGCCCTTGGCGTTGTGGCTGTTTTTGAGTTCACAGGAGAAGACTGAGGACACAAAAACAAGAAAGTGTTTATGCTGTTTTGGTGTCCCAAAAAAGAACACCAAACCCCACCCCAAAACCAAAGCAAAAACATAAAATAGGGCTTTAATTACCATCTTTTCTTTTATCCCTTTTCTTCTCTTTTTTTGTTCTCCAGCCAGAAAACATTATGTTGTTGGACAAGAATATTCCCATTCCACACATCAAGCTGATTGACTTTGGCCTGGCTCATGAAATAGAAGATGGAGTTGAATTTAAGAACATTTTTGGGACGCCAGAATTTGTTGGTGAGTTTTAGGCCTGTTTCTCTCCCAACTGAGAATCTGGGATCAGGAGGTAGAGAAATCCCAGTAGTAAACCCTGCGTCTGGAGCTGTGGCCTATGGGCTGAGAGATGATGCCTTGGAGACCCCCTAGAAATCTAATGGGTAGGGAAGGAAGTGTCTCACTGACCTCTGGATGAGGGTCCAGGTGCTGGCTTTGAGCGCCCAGTGGGGCAGTGAGAGGCCAGGTGGGGCTAGAGGCCTTTGCAGAGTTAAATCCTCCCAGAGCTGGCTCCACTGCCTGCTCTTAGAAGAGATTATGAACATTTAAAATTACCTCGCCCTCTTGCATTCCCATAAACTCAACCTTTTCTGGAGTAGCTTTTGATTTCCTGAAAAAGAGAAGGGAAATCTTCTGCCAGATGCCAGATTCAGCTGCTCGCCTCTCCTGTGTGCCTGGCCTTCATTCACGCACAGGAGGCCCAGCTCCAGCAGAGCCCTGGCGGCTCTGTCTTCCCTCTGTGTCTCTCAGCCTTGGCCTAGGCCTGGTGGGACTTGCACCACAGGTCGGGGGGGAGGGGGGATGGTCATAAAGAAACAGCTTTGCAGAGGGGAAAGGAATGAAAGTTCAGAACCAACACCTCTCTGCTTTGGGAGTTGGAGTGGTCTTAGAGATGGAGGGAGGGAATGGTCTCCTCAAAGCCTGGGGGCTCAAACTTCTGACCACAGTCTAATCAAAAAGGAAGACGGGATGCGTCAGAACATCCACCCTGATAGATTTTCAGGCCACACATAGCAGCTCTGCAGCCACTGTGGAATGAAACTGCAGAGGCCCCACAGACCCCCTGGCAGGGAAACCTTGCTGTGTACCAAGCACTATGCCTGGTGCTCTACAGGCATTGTCCAAATTAATCCTTATAGGATCTAATGAAGCAGATTTAAAATATCTTCTCCATCAAGTGCCTTGTTTAAGGCAAAACAACCGGTAGGTGGTAGAGCAGAGATTCAAAAACAGATACATCCAACATCAAAGCCTGTGCTTTTTCCATTAGACCACGTTGTCCTCTATAAGAAGACCTTGCCCTCAAGGAGTGTTCAATTTAGTTTTGGAAACAAGACATCAAACCATCAAATAAGAGTGCTGAAAGGATGTTTTCAGATCACCTGATCTAGTTTAAATGTGGACTTGGAGAGCTAGGGGATTTTACTTAAGGTCAACCAATGGTTATTCTCCACCTACTATATGACAGATATTAGGTACTGGGGACACAGTGATAGTAAGAAGCCACACTCAGACTGGCGCACCCAGGGTCACACAGTGAGTTGGTGGCAGGGCCAACTTGAACCTGGGGTGCAGGTGTCTAGTCTCAAATTTTGTGCAGGATAGCAGTTGCTGCCCGCCATTCACATATGTGGTAAAAATGCATGTTTATTTAAGCTCATACCAAGTGTTGAATGATAATAAATGGTTCAACTAGAAATTCAGGGCAGTCATGGAAGAGGTGACATGAGACAGGATGTGGTTAAGTGTAAGGGGAGTGATATAGACAGCTCTGAAAGACTGTTCAGACAAGATATCCACTCTCACAAGGTCAGTGGGATCAGTCCTGGCCTTGAGTCAGTGAGGGACAAAGTGCTGTCGCTGTGGGTGTGGGAGGATCTAAGGGGGGTCGGGAAGGAGCCAGGGTAGAGGAGGTGCACATCCTGGATTCAGAGTTACCACAGCAGGGGTGAAGGGCCAGAATGAGTGCATTTATCAGGGACCATTCACTGTCCACTCTAGATGGATCAGAGGGTTCACACGGGCTGGCAGTGTCAGTGGGATATTGATGGGTGGAGCCAGACTGTGGAGGGTTTTTCCCAGTGGTATACTGGTAAATGTCTTAACAACCAGGTCTCAAAACAAAACAGAATACAACCCTAATTAGGTTGAATAACATCTGCCAATTTCAACCTACCAACATGTTGTCACTGAATTCAGAGTTGGGCAAAGATGCACACAGTTGACTCTTGTGAGCCAGTGTGACACAGCTCCAGCCCAGAACTGGTCTTATTTGCACCTTACAGATATATAGGGTGGTTTCTCTAAGCCCCTGACCAAATTATGATGACTTCCTTTTCCCAAGACCCCTGAACACAGGTTATAAGCACTCTTCCCTATTCCCATCATTCTTTGAAATTTTAACCTGAGACCAGGGTTAAAAAGTGTCAGCTCCTGGGAGTGTGGTGGACCAGGTCTTCCAAAAGGTCCTCTCACTACAAAACTGGATTCTTGAGAAAAATATTATTTTTCATGCAATTCTGGACTCATAGGAAGTAAGATAAATCTTTAAGTGAAGTAACTCCTTCAGCATCACCTGTCCTACCTATGAACGTAGAGCTCGAGCAGCAAGAATATTCAATAGGAGGACCTCTCCTAAAGGCAAGTATACATATCAGCATTTATCAGAGACTAGCAAGATTTAGATGTTCAAGGATGTAGGATATTAAAATTATCAGATGTTGACTATTAAATAAATGGAATGTATATAGAAATAACAGGTAGACTCACAAGAATGAGCAGGCAACAAGAGATTCAAAAATGACCAGGCAGATTTTTTAAAAAACCAGATAGAACTTTAAGAAATTCAATATATACTCATTGAAATTTAAAACTCAGTGGATGGGGCAAACAGCAGATTATACACAGCTGAGGAGAGAATTAAAGAATTGGAAGACTGAGCTGGAAAAAATCAGCTAGAATACCACAGAGTGACAAAGATATAGAAATATTAAAGAGAGGATAAGTGGAATAAGTTTAAAATAAGAAGCCTAACATAGGTCTATTTGGATTCCCGGACAAGGGAATAAAGACAATACAGGAGCAATATCTGAATAGAATGGCTGAGAATTTTCAGATCTAATGTAAAAAGATGCATCCCCAGATACAGAAAGGACAATGTATATCAATCAGAAAAAAAAAATCTATACCTAGACACATTATAGTTAAAGTATAGGGCACCAGATACAAAGAGACGATCTTAAAAATCAGCCAGAGAGAAAAGACAGGTTACCTACAAAAGACAAAAATTAACAAACAAAAACCAATAACTGGACTGACAGCGTACTTCTCAAAACAACAATGGAAACCAATGTCCAATAGAATATAATCTCCAAAGAGCTGAGGAAAAATAAAAACCCCATAATTGTGGAGAAATTATATTTCAAGAATGAAGGTAAGGGATTCAGAAAAAAAGCAAAAACAAAAAAGAACAATAACAAAAAAGACAAAACAGTTAACCTCCAGCAGACCTTCATTAGTGGAACTTCCAAAAGATATACTTCTGAATTAAGGAAAATGACTCTGAAGGGAGTTCTCAATGCAAGAAGTAATAGGAGCAAAGAAATCAGTAAAACATTAGGCAAATATAATTATTTTCTTTCCTAGAGAATGATAACGATGATGCTGATGATGAAGCTTTAATTGTAGGACTGAAAAAAAGAACCAGAAACTGAAGAAAATAACGTTAGCTAGGACAGAGTACTCGAAATTAGTGTTCTAAGTTTCTTGTATTGTTAGAGGAGTGTCAAAATATTGATTTATGTTAGAATTTATTTGATATTCATAGTAAAGTCTCAGGGGTAGCCATTACAAAAGTAGAAGCTGGGGGAAAAAAGAGTAAGAAAACTAACAAAAAGCGATTTAAAAAAAAAAGACAAGAAAGAAGATGAAAAGCACAGATGAAAATGGACAAACAAAAGCACCTGAAGGACAGAAATGAGTGTGTATGTATATCGAGCAGATGAGCACTAGAAAGTGAGCTGTGCTCCTCAAACTCTCTATGGTGAACCACTTGGAAAAAAAAAAACGTCTATCCTGGACTGCTTGTTCAGTAAGATACAATAAAAATAAATTCCTAGAAAAGTGATCACGGTTTGAGTGTCACAGCAATGTCCAATTGCTATGCAAGTCTCTAAATGCTTACTGTCAATTTCTGTACATATCTTGTCAGGACCAGTGACAGTCTGCAGACTGCCTGCAGACTGCACTTTGAATATCACTGTCCTAGAGAAAGTCTTTCATGTGTGTCTCAGGAGACAGGTACAAAAGAGTTCATAGCAATGCTTTTCCAATAAAAGATAATAATATAATAAAAGAATAAAAGAAGTGGAAACCATCCAAATGATCACCAAGAGAATGACTAGAAGATGATCTATATTCACACAATGGACTATTATATAGCAGTGAAGATGAAAAACCATGGATGAACGTTCAATGAACTCTAGAAGCATCATGTTGAGTGGGGAAATAAAGTCAAGTGACAGTAGATCACATGCAGTATGGCATCATTTTTAGGAAGCTGAAAAATAAGCCAGGAGAGTGGTTCTCTGCATCTGGGAGGGTGGGATGGGGGCACATCCTATAGATGCAGAGGTTTTGATATTATTCTAGATGAACAAACTTAGCCTTTCCCACTCCCCACCTTTTTCCATTCGTGGTTAAAAAGTCTCAATCCCTCTCCCTTCTCTAGTTATCATCCTCTCTTCTCTATTTCATCACCAAGCTTTTTGTTTTGTTTTGTTTTTTTGTTTTTTTGCGGTACGCGGGCCTCTCACTGTTGTGGCCTCTCCCGTTGCGGAACACAGGCTCCGGACGCGCAGGCTCAGTGCCCATGGCTCACGGGCCCAGCCGCTCCACGGCACGTGGGATCTTCCCGGACCGGGGCACGAACCGGCGTCCTCTGCATCAGCAGGCGGACTCTCAACCACTGCGCCACCAGGGAAGCCCCTCATCACCACGCTTTTTTAGAGAGTCGTCTGCACCCTTATCTCCACTGCCCACACTCAGCACTCTCTGGGCACTGCAGTGAGTGTGAAATTCAACACTTGCTTCCCAGGGCTTATGGGCTTGATCACCAGGCACCATTTGGTCCCCTTCTGTCCCAGGTAGAGTCGTCTTTCCTAGACTCTGCACCTTCTCCTGGTCATGGCAGCATTCGCACGGCTCCTGTTTCCACCTGTGTGATGGCTCTGGTCCACCCCACCCCCACCTCCAATACCCAGCCTGTTCCTGGACACCTTCCTCTGGATGCCCCTCGGGCACCACAGGCTCATCACCTCAGTGGCCACCAGAACGTCCTCCTGCTCCTCAGGTGGGACTTGCCCTCTTTCAGACAGACTCAGAGGAGCGTGGATTCCCTCTCTGCCTCCTCTTCTCCTCCATCGCCTTCCAGCGCTGACCTGACTGGTTTCCAGTGGAGAGTTCTCAAGCAGGCTCTGTTCTAGGCCGCATGGTCCCCTCCCACATCTTCCTCTCCCCACCCTCCTCTTCCTTTTCCAGGAGTCCCTTTGTCCCGTCTTCCTCACCATCAGGATAAGAGGCAGCTCCCTTCCTCAGAATCCTTAGAGCCAGATTAACCCCATCTGCCTCTCTGATTCTCCTTAGCGAGGGCTCAGGATGGAGACACTTGGCACCAAATTCCCTCAAACTCCTTACGATCCTCTCTTCTCATTTTCATACCCCTGCTGACTCTTCAACATGGCTTCTTTCAGCTCCAGAAATTGTGAACTATGAGCCCCTGGGCCTGGAGGCTGACATGTGGTAAGTTGTACAGGCCGCCCAGGTGGCCCAGACCCCGGCTCTGGCTGACATCCCCCTTGACCGTGAAAACCTCTTCCTTCACACTGACCTTTCAGAGCCCCTGGCTCTTCTGGGTGTGCTGGACCTGCGGCCAGTGAGCACACGGCCGAGGCAGAGAACAAGGGGAGAGGTGAGGCTGGAGGTGCAGGCTCACCCGAGGCCTGCTGCAGCCACGATGAAGATGATAGTGACCGTAGCTCACTTCACCAGTCAGCCAGGTGATTACCGGGAGCCTCATGCTCTAGGTGCTGTGCTGGGCCGGGGGATACCGCGGTGATGGATTCTCTGCACGGATGGGGCTCATTTCATGTGAGCCACGCTCTACAGTTGGCTAAGCAGCTTGATCACGTGGTTTTCTAAAATCCTCCCAGTGGTCCTGTGAGGTAGTTCTCATTATCCTCATTTTAAGAGGAGAAAGAGGCTCAGAGGTGATCATCGCAGCCTGCATGTGCGGGAGTACCTGATCTTGAACCTGGGTCCTTGGACTCAACGTCCAGGGCTTGATGACTCCAAAGAAGTCCCAGGCTGCTACTGAAGAGTGGAGTGGGGAGGGGCGTGGGACTCGAGATGGCATCCAGGGGCTGCCACGAAAGGGCCCTCAGAACCGCGTGGGGAGTCCCTTGCTGGTCTGGGATGACAGCCACGCAGCCCTGACTCGACGGTTCTTTGTTTTACAGGAGCATCGGCGTCATCACCTACATCCTGTGAGTATCACTGATCCCGGGGCTCTGACCCAGCTCAGATCCAGGGGGGAGCGGGAGGGATGAGAGGGGGCAGGCAGACAGACAGACTGACATTTCCTGAGTACCCACCACGACCAGATGTGTTAGAGCCACACAGCAAACCTGAGGCTAAGTGCTCTCAGCTCCATTTCATACATTTGACCCTCGTCTTGGGGTTGGGCAGGAACCCAGGAGAGCAGCCTGCAGCCCTCCATCCCGCACAGACTGTGTCTGCATCCCTCCTGTGGTCGGGGGTCCACCGCTCAGCCTCACCGGGACCTAGGGTTCCTGTGAAAATGTCAGTTTTCACTCCGAAGCCTTGGGACAGCCCTCAAGCTGCCATGGCCTTCCTGACCCTGCCTCTTCTTTCTCTGCCTTTCCTCCCGCCTTTCTCAAGATCCCTTTTCCTCTCACATTCTCTCTCTTCCCTTTTCCCCAGAGTCTCTCTTTCCTGTCACTGAAGTATTAAGTGCTTAAGCAGAGATTTCCTGCATCGGGTAGTGGACCTGTCACTTTCCATCTCTGTGGCCTGGGGCAGAGACTGAATCTCTGGGCCTGTTTTTCTCATCAGAAAAGTAGGAATCACAAACTTCCTGCCATGGGTGTGTTGTGAGGGTTAAATAAGCCGACGTGCAAACTTACTGGCACTGCTCAGACACAGACACGGCTGATTACTTGGTGTTCATTTCATCAGTACTTCCCAACTGTTTCCTCTCACAGCACTCCTGGAAAATGGTATTTTTATGGCACTCTGGGTAAGAGGCAGCCCACAGCCAGAGGGGATGAAGGATGGGGCACCAGCACTCAACTCTCTCAACATCCCTGTAAAGCATCCCTCTGGCTCCCCTTGGACTGGGAGCTCTGTGCGATGTGGTAGACACCTCCCGCCTCCCCCCCCCACCCCGCCCATCCTGTCCCCCGAGCTGCAGCAGCGGGTCTCAACCCTGGCTGCACGCCAGACCTTTCAATATCTACTGTGGCCCAGGCCCCACTCCAGATCTATGAAATCAGAATCGCTAGGAGCGGGGTCTAGGCATCAGTATTTTTTAAAAGCCCTGGAGGAACTTGAAGGAGGAATTTGCAGAGAGAGAGAATTTGCTGCATTGCTGTATAGTTCCAGACTAGAGCCAGAATATTCAGATGTTGACCCTCGACACCTTGATATCTTCAGAACTCTGGTTTCCATATTAAAAGAGTATGGAATTCCAGTGTCTCCAGGGCACACAATCTTCTTGTAGCTCATTGAATTCCGTACAGGTTATTGGCTGCCTGCTCCATGGTGGGCACTGTGCCAGGCACTCAGGATACTACCTGAAGGAGAATCTGTCCTGCTTGCCTGGAGCTCCCTGTGTGTGTGGGAGACACCGGACAGCGAACTCTTACCCAGTGGGACCAAGGTTATCCTTTAGGTATGAACATGGCTTTGTGAGACACAGATGGGAGAGCCACTGGTTTGCTGGGACTGCAGAAGGTTTAATGGGAGAGGGGGAGGGCGAGACAGAGAAGAGAGAGATTGATTTGAACTGGGCTAGAAGGAATGAGATGAATTCTCCTGGTAGAAAGGGAAGGAAGGGCTGTCCTAGCCGAGGAAGGGAGCGGTGAGCTTGGTAAGTGTGGTGAAATATATGGAGCGTGTGGACCAACTTCTGATGCCTTGCTCAGGAGTTCAGATGTGATTCTATAGAAAACAGGGAGTCATAGAGGGTTCTTTGTGTGCTAACAATGACAATAATAATGACCATCAATTCCAGAGTTCTTAGTATGGGCCAGGACTGCACGGAACAGTCTCTATATAGTTATTCTTCAACATTTTATAAATACTTATTCACAACAGTCATGTGAGGTGGAGACTTTTCTTTTCTTCAGGTTACAGATGAGGAAACTGCAGCTCAGAGAGGTTGAGTAACTCTCCTAGGTTCATACATGAGTGGCAGAGCTGGGATTCATATCCAGGATTGAAATATCAGATTTTTTTTTCCAGGGTACCTTGCTTTCACTATCCCAAGAAAGTGTCAATGGAGATAGGGATGACCTTTAAGAGGTATTTAGGAAATGGAACCGATAGAAATGGTGAGGGAACAGGAGGAAGAGTCAAAGATTCTGTGTTTCTAGCTTGGGTACGTTCATGAAGTGACATCATTAATCGAGGCAGGGAGCGCATGGAGGGTTAGGGTAGGGCACAGGGACCTCTGGGACAATGGCACATCTGGATCATGAGTCAGGAGACAGTAGATTCAGGAGTCACTACTTGAACAACACATTCCCCACAGACCCTGCAGGGGAACATCACTCACCCTTCCAGTCCCTAACGGCCCATCTATTGCCACACTTCTCAGGCTTTATGCTCAAGCTGCTCCCTTAGCCTAGAAGACCCTCCAGCTCCTTCTGTGACTGCTGACGACCTCTTCGTTCTTCAGGACACAACTGATGCAAATGTCAGCTCTCCCATGAAGCCTGCTCTGGGCCTCCCCTCTGTCCTGTGCTCCCACAGCCCTTTTTCTGGCCTCCTGTTTTATTCTGTGCTCTGCTGGAGATTATGAAGAGCCAGGTCTCTGTATTTGTCTCCCCTCCCCTTTTGAGTCCCTTGAAGACACGGTTTCTCTCTATCACAGGTACTTCTGTCTGTCACAGGAGCTCCATAAAGTGTATTCAATTGGACTCATTTGAAGAGTTGCTGACTGCCCGCCCCCCCAGAGAGGGCAGCAGGGTTGCGGGGAGCCTCCCATGCCCACACAGCAGTACGAGTCAGGGTTCCCAGAGTCCGTCACCCCCACTTGCATCTACTTTCCCACAGTCATGTGTGTCCTCTCTGTGTGCCCAGCCTCAGTGGAGCATCCCCTTTTCTGGGAGACACAAAGCAGGAAACACTGGCAAATATCACAGCAGTGAGTTACAACTTTGATGAGGAGTTCTTCAGCCAGACCAGCGAGCTGGCCAAGGACTTCATTCGGAAGCTTCTGGTTAAAGAGACCCGGTAAGAGAACAGAGGAGGGCAGTGGCTTCTCAGGTACTGACCCTCTCCTGCCACCTCTCCCAAAGCCGTGTCCGTCTGTCCCTGCTTTGCCATGGGCTATCATCGACCATTGTGGTCTAATCTGGGCAGGTGCTGAGGAGTATGGACTGGTCAAGACTTGGCATTCATCTTGTTTCCTCAAGTCGTTCTGGTTTCTTTTTCTGCTGAAATGCAAATAACTCTGTGTGTGTGTGTGTGTGTGTGTGTGTGTGTGTGTGTGTGTGTAGAAGTCAACCTGGGTTTCTCTAGGGCTCATTATCTTTTGCGGTCTGTCCCAAAGGCACCTGGAACTAGGATTCAAAAAGGAAAGTGGCAGGGTTTTCAAGTCAGTTCAGGATGGGAGTGGGCGGAAGTGGGCCCAGAGGGGTCAGAACAGTGGGAGAATAGGAGACCTGCTAATCCCACACCTTCTGCAGGGCCCAGGGTGAGCCCCGTGGCTGTGTGATCGAAGAAGGAGATGGGCAGGGGCTTATAGGGTGCTGGGTACCCAGAGCACGGCCTAGATGAGGCAGGGGTAAGGTCCACAGACTTTAGGAGACCATATCCTCTTGGTCCCACAGATTTTAGAGAGGGGCAGAGCGGGGTCGTCTAAAGTGCAGGGGCCCAATTTCCCTATTGAAGATCAGTGCTAGGTGGGATGGGATCACCCTACATGGGTACAGAGCAGGGAAGGGCAGAGAGTGGATCCGGGAGGCAGACAGAAAAACAGAGACCAGAGGTTTTGCGGTGGAGAGCATTTATGACTCTTCCATAGTGTGGTGTCGGCCCCTTCAACTCTGGGACCAAAGATGAGGGTTTATGTGATGTCATTTTATTGAGGTGTCTTCCTGGACCACTTTCTCTGGAATGTGGAGAATGCAGCCAGTTCCCCCACCTTATTATTCTAGTTTGACGGCAGTGGTTGAAGAATGCCAAAAAGGAGGTCTAAGAAGAGTGAGAATGGAGACTGTTGCCCTCAGCTTCTCATGGACCATCACTGTTTTCTGATCCTCGTTGCAGGAAACGGCTCACGATCCAAGAGGCTCTCAGGCATCCCTGGATCACGGTAAGGGCACAGTGATGAGTTCCAGTGAGCAGTTCCCTGCTCTGTCGCCGGGGACTGCCTGGGGCGGCCGGAGGCAGGGGACCTATGGAAAGGCCTTTGCTTGAAACACTGACCCTCAAGCCCAGACGAAAGCTAGTTGGGGGCTTCTAAGGGTCTGGCCTTGTTCAAATAGGTCTACAAGTTTTAAGTTTCTATTTCACGTGTTCAGGTGACTTATGAAATGAAACCTTCACGAATGTCAGTTGAACTTGTTCTTTGGGCCCATCTTACAAAGGGTTCTTTGTCAGAGGACACGTCACTGTCATTCTCAAAGCAGAAATCAGGACTCCTCAGTTGTAGAGAGAGATCAGTGACAGTTAAAAACCTCAACTTTGTAACCGGGGCTCCTTGTTTCTGACTTTCGAAGTCCTGAGTAAAGGATGACGCTCAAACCGGTCACTGGCTTCCTCAGGCCCCTGGAGACTTCAGGGAATGGGGCTCTGAGGTGGAGGCCTGCTGGGAGAGAGAGGCAGCCACTCCTTAGGGCAGTTCCATTCTCTCTGGGGAGGGTGGGGACACAAAGGTGACTCCCTGCCTAACCCGCCTTGTAACTGGGCTTCCAGCTGCTGGGTTTTCAGAGGGCGTTGCAGTCTAGGCACAGTGAAGTGCCAGTGAAAAGCACTTTGGTAGGATAGGAATCAGGAGAGTGGGATTCTGGCCCTAGTTCTGCTGACTGATGAGATGTGTGCTCCCAGGGGTGTCACCAGACTTCCCATTCACTGAAATTGTTAGATGGGAGAGCTGGCGAGGATGATCTGAGGGTGCAGATGAGAAGGGGCAGAGGCCCACGGGAGATGGAGAGCAGGGAGGGCTGGAGTGCTCTGGAGAAGGCCAGGTTCATCTGCTTGTTGAAGGATGGGGAAGGCCACGGGCCCTCCAGGTTTGGGCCCAGACCACAGAGCTAGGGAGTCTGGTGGGCTGCCTCCTAGCTCAGCTTGCTGAGTGTTGCCAAGGCCCAGGGAGCCCACCAGCCATGAGGGAGAGAAGCCCCCAGCTTCCCCCCATCAGCCATGGCCTTGTATGCTTCCTCCCTTGAGTGGATGCCTGCAGAATCCTGGCTCTAGCCTGCTTGTCTGTGCGAGCACCCTTAAATGCTATGCGTGTGGAGACCCTCTCTAATGGCCGTGGATCACCCTGCCCTGAAATGAGTGTGCAGGCAGCACCCGTCCTCCTCGACCTGACCTTTCTTACGGTCTGTGTGGGTGATCATTCCGCCCTGGTCCTCCCGTGGCCTGGCGCATGCAGTGAATGCAAAGAGGCTGCTCGTGTGCCGTCTGCCTGCACCTTGGACTGCCCTTGGAGCAGACGTCAAAGTAACTCTGGCCCTTCTGTCTAAACACCCCCTAGTCCAAAGGAGAGATCAGAACCCCTGAACAGCGCAAGGCAGAGCCCGCCCAGCTGAAGACCGAGCGCTTGAGAGAGTACACCCTCAAATGCCACTCAAGCATGCCCCCCGACAACACCTATGTCAACTTTGAGCGTTTTGCCTATGTGGTCGAGGACGTGGCTCGGGTGGACCAGGGATGCCGGGCCCTGGCGGGGGCCCGTGACACCATCCAGGACGATGTGGAGACCTTGGTCTCCATCTACAATGAGAAGGAGGCTTGGTACCGGGAGGAGAGTGAGAGAGCCCGGCACGACCTGTCCCAGCTCAGGTACGAGTTCCGCAAAGTAGAGTCCTCGAAGAAGCTCCTACGAGAGGACATCCGGGCCACGGGGTCCCGCCTCGGGAGCACAGCCAGGAAACTGGACCATCTGCAGGTGCAGTTTGAAGCCCTGGGGCAGGAGCTCTTGGCAGACTTACAGTGGCTCCAGGAACTGGTGGGCGGCTTCCAGCTGGAGAGTGGGAGCATGGACAGCCCCAGCTCCGTGTGTTGCCAGGACTCTAGTGAGTGCCTAGGGGAGCTGCTCAACAGATCATGCAGTGAGGAAGTCTAGGCCAGCTTGAAGCTCTGAGCACCAGAATCGAGTCAGGAATGCATCCTGGATGGTTTGCTGAAGCCTGTTCCCAACTGCCCTGCCAGGGCATCGACTAGTATTCTCCTGCAGGGGTGTGTGTCTGTAGCATAGCCTTCCACCCTCTTCCCAGAATGCAGAATCACGGAGGGGCTAGCTAGTTATCCATTCTGTACCTCCTCTCACCAGCCTGGTTTTCTGGGAGGGTGGCTGGCAGGGCAGCTAAGCTGTTAAAACGATTGAGGATGAACACCCGTCAGTGTACTCTCCTACAGAGGGAGGACGGCTAGCCCTGGAGAGATACCTGATAACTGATTTGTGATAATGGATTTGTTCACATCTCGCTTCCCGCCTTGTAGATTGCAGGTCTTGGGTAATATTCTAGTTAACTAGGGATAACAGTCAGTTGGCTTGGTGCTTTCCTGCTGCTGAAGGAGGGATTCTGAATGCACAGAGAAAAGATTACTTTTCATTTATTATTGACTTTTCACTTACCAAGCATTTATGGCTTTGATCCTTAAAGGAACCTGTGAGACAGGAAGGTAGGTGGTATTATGATTGTTGTTACTGTCATTTCCATGTAACTGAAGAGGAAATTGACCTCCAGAGGGAAAATGACTGAGGTTCATTCATAGCTAGTTGATACGGATGCAACAGAAACCCAGGATGCCTGACTCTAAGATGAAGTATATGGGAAGAAATAGGCTCTACTGTAAAAATCCACGTTAATATAAAAGTTCAGATCCCAGAGGTAAAGTAAGCATTTTCATGTATTTTGCCAAGTCAGGTGGAAGCCTTATACCTTCAGGCAATTGTCCTAAGAAGTGTGTCCTAGAAGGCACACAGTTTATCGTTCCCATCCAGCTGTGTCCCTGTGTGAAGATCACCTGCAGAATAGGACAGAAGGGGCAGCATCTCACCCCTCTCCACTTCCCGCCTCTGGCTAACGGCTCCAATCTCGTGTTGGGAATGAAGGCCAGAAAGGACTCAACAAGCAGGTTCCTTTTCTCATGTCCCTAAGGTCTGAAGAGGGTGGACATTAAGATTGGGGAGCCCAAGACTCAGTGCTCCCTTCCTGACCTCAAGCTGTGCGCACCCCTCCCTGAGGACTGGATCATCTTGTCTCCCTTTTCCCGGAGGAGGGGCCAGCCAACTAGCTCACAGAGAAAGAGTGTGGAGTGTGGGCCCAGTGCTGTGCTAGAAGCTTGGGGGTGAGGGAACAGATCGTATCATTTCAAAGTGCCTTCACAGACTCACAAACCCCCCATCAGATAGGTGGGGTAGGTGTTATTCCCAATTTGGAGCTGAGGAAACAGAGAGGATGTGATTTGCCCAAGGTCACAATAGTGGCAAAAGTGGAGACTTTCTGATGATGTCCGTCGCTCCTTCTGCTTCCCCTAACTACCCCAGTCTCCAAGAGTTTACTCTCTGCTGTGGGGCAGGTTACACCAAGACACATCTATCTATGCATTCACAAAGAATTTCTAAGCACCTGTCTACTGCCAGGCATTCAGCCTGGCCCCAGGGATACAATGTTGAGTGAAAACAGGCATGTTTCCTGCTCTCACGAAGTTTGCAGTCCAGTAACGGATTCCAACATTCATCAAGAACATTCTGCAAAGGTAGAACTGCAGCTGGGACCTATGCAATGAAAGAGAAGGATGCAGCACTGCAGGAGCCTGCAGTGGGGGATGATCTAGTCAGGGAAGGCATCCCTGAGGTGGTGACGCTGGAGCTGAGATCAGCTAAGCAAACCAGGGAGAAGGTAGTGCTCCCCACAGAGCTGTCATGCCAGGGCTCTGTACTGGGAGGGGGCCTGGAGCTGAAATTGCTCAGACAGGAAGAAAGCTGGAGGGGAGAGAATAGAGTATGGCGTGGATGGGGCTGGAGAGAAGACAGGACCAGCAGGGCTTTGCCGTATTAAAGAGCTCTGCCTTCACCCCAAGAGTCATGGGGAGCCATGATGGGCGCCAGGCAGTCAACAGCCTGACGTGCTGGTGGGGGCAGGGATGCCCAGTGAGCAGCACAGATGGGGAGTGGTTTAGGATGAGGCATGAGATTGTGATCCCATGAAACCATTTCTTTAAAATCCTACCTCTAATTCTATTCGCATGCTGGATCGCTTCAAATATCATATATAACATTTGTAAGAGAAACGTTTTTCATCCACTGTAAGAAAGCATATTTTCATCAAATGTAAATGCATCATTAGTTTATGACGCCAAAATAAAGAAAAAAAAGCCCAGGATGGGAAGTCCAATAGGAGATTCCACATACAAAGCTGGGACACCCTCACTGAAAGGGTAAATGGGAAATAAAGCCACCAGGCAGGAAGGGGAGGCAAGGGAACGTGTGTGTCTCAAACTTGACACTGGGTAGAGGGATGGAAAAATCCTCCACTGAGAATAGGAGTCCCAGGTCCATGGTACTCGTGCAGGTTTGCTTTCTGTATTTGCACAATCAGTGGGATCCAAAAGAACCTCAAAACAAGTGAATAAACAAAACAACAACAACAAGAAAACAAAAACAAAAGAACCTCGAGCAGAGAATCTAACGTCAAACACTTTGAGGCTGGGTGGCCCCAATGGCTGGCAGAATCAGTGTGGTCATCTTCCGGAACACCTGCCTTCACTTCAGACCGACAGTAAGGATATGATGCCACTGTTTGGGAGTTAAGTCCTGATTTCAGAGATCCAAAAATGTGCATCTTGGAATCGATGGAAGATGGCAAAGCCCTGTTCCCTAAACCCTGTCTGGAAGAACTGATACAAAAGACCCATCTACGAGCTCTCCAAGAATTTTCCTGCCCCATTACAGGACATGATATACCCATTTGGCATAAGGCACTGCAAAGATGAAAGGTCCCTTTGGCCAAGTCAACAGGTTTCCTAAGGAAAGGAAGCCCCTGATTGAGCAACTCAGGGCAAACTTTCTTGTGAAGGTCGAAATAAAATGCAATAAAGTAGTAAGATGTGGATGATGGTTTGAATTAGGGAGACTGGGAA